CAGTGAGCAGGACCCAGTGCACTCAGGGATCAGGAGTGCAGACTAGAACAGAAGTGAAGCATGGGCGTTTAGAGAAAGCGAGTGCAAACCGTACTTGTTATATATAGAATATGAGCAAGGAAATACTATTCACCAGGGCCATATTATAACTGAATAGCTAAAAATGTCATTTTTAACTCTGAATAGATATTGAATCATTGTGGGTTTCTTATTTTCTCTGATGCTGACCATATTTATAAAAGAATAGTCTGAGACCACCACATTTATTTCTTACAGAAATGAAATTTCAAGCTTGAAATCCAACTGAAGAACCAGAGTACTCTGCTTGAAAACAGAAAATTTTCATGCTTTGTGAGCCAAATCATAATCACACTGCAAGAGCAAAGAGCTACAGCATAAGCCTTTTGACTAATCTGCCTTAAAGGTTCATAATTATTTTGTGCTCGGGACACAGTAATGATTCTGTTGAATGAGAAAACAAGTTCTCTGGTCACTTTTCTCATACAACGCAACTGTTACATCAGAATTAAGGAAATCTGTGGGTATAAAATTTTAGCCAAAAATAGCCAGAGAGCCTAACAGATGGACAAAATTTGCATGAGCCTTTCATCGCCTCCCTCGCATTAGGAGCTCCTTTGTATTAAAAATATTTCTATCTTCAGAATAAGTTAAGGAAACATTTCTGAAGCTGACTATACAGCTTTTAAGCTGTGCTGGCTAAATAAAGCAGCTGTTCTAACATCTACCCATGCCACAAATACAACTTTTTCCACCCACAGTAAAGGCTTTGGTGAGCAAATTCCACCGAGGTGTTGAAGACAGCTGCAGAAAGCAGCAAGAAGTACTTTTCAGTGGGAATAGGCTCCTTAACGTGCCATTTATCACTTATCTGCTCTCCCAGTACTATTCCTGTCTCTTGCAGGCTCATTTTAAGCAGAATACATTAACAGGTATGCTGTTCTAGCTTAAATCAGGAAAGTTTTACCCAGCAACCTATCCTGTTTTCACCCCACTTTTTGCTCTCCCAGCTATCACTCCCTCCCACACGCTTCCCTGCCATTTTCAGAGTCCCCAAGCTTGACTTACAGCTCTGCAGTAGCAGGCTTCCCTGAAGATTGGAATAGGGTGAGGAAAGACTAACAAGGTGCTGCTTGTGGACAGGAAAATGTGAGTTTCCATACCTATGCTAGGTAGAGGCTCTGCTGGGTAAAAGCTGCTCCACAGTTACATACATCTGGTTTTACACTTCCCTGAACCATCTTGTGCTTCAGCAAGCCCCATCAGAAAGACAATTTTACTACTTTTCAGGAATGTTATGCAGATATGAACCTCACAGACTGTACAAACTTAGATCACCCCAGCTAGAAGAGGCAGGTAAGTGCTGAGATAAGGGCAAGTAGCTGAGTTTCCATGTGGCTGAGCATCACTGTTTTGTCAGACACATTGCACATGTTTCCAGGCAAACCCCTGCCCTTCCAAGAGTGCAGGGAGTCATGTCCCTATTCTTGATCCTGCTATTCATCAGCCAAGTAACAGCAAGGCATGTGGCCTTTCTGTGCCCATTAAATAAAAAAAGCGTTAATATTTACCTTGCTTTTTGACATGCTAGATGGAAACTGCTCTCTGAGGATACAAAACAGACACTTGTACTCTCTGGCCAGTAGTGAGAGCGAAGAGGAAGCAAGAGGACACTTGGCAGCTTCTTTTGCAGAAAACTGAAAGATTTCTTGATCTATGATATGACACCTGAGGAAGAAATTCCAAGCTTGCTTTTTCTTAAGTCTTTTTTAGTAAAGAATAAATTTGTAATTGATGCATTAGCTACGAACACACACCTCTAACTATGGAATAGGGTAGTACAAAGAAATCCACTACGTAGGTACAGCTTTTACCCTGGGGACAGTCGGGTACATGCCCCCCGTGAGATTTATAACCCTCTAGTAACATCTTTCTGAATCTCACTTCCCTCTTGCACGTAGCACGGACAGGGTATATGCTGCACCAAGCCCAGAACCACAGCACATGGAAATGGGTAAGAAAGTGCACTAGCCTATTGGGATCCCCACCAGATAAAACCCATTGGATCCTCCGCTGCCGCTGTACACTCCCACACCGGCATGAAATGCCGTACCCTTGAGCTAGCGGAGCGTAGAGGAAGGTGGCAGTGCCAGCAATGGTATCATAACAACTCACACAATGAACTTACTGCATGTAGCTCACTGAGCACCTCAGCACAGTAATAAGATGCTGTTACTGTCAACTTCAGCTGTATTTGAGGTGGGGTCAGAAGGTGAAAGACACTGGGTACTATTTAAAAATCTTACAGCTTCTAACATTCGGAACTAAAATGTTCCAAGAAAAAAATAAAAAATTAAAAAACCAAAGCTGTCAGCTGTTTCCATGTAGCACAGAGCAAAGAACAGACAACTGCTGAGGTACAAAGAATCCCAGAGCTTTGCCAAAATTTGCCTCGTTGATCAGATGAGACAAGTATCAAATTCAAAACTAGAGAGGAAAATGCAACAGCCTTAATAGAGTAAGACTGTTTATGAGAAGATTAAATAACTCACGCCAAGTTCAACTGAATCCCCAGAAAAATATTCTTCGATGGATGAAATTGACTGATAGGCTTTGGTCCTTATGAGTGAGGCAATGTAGACAGCTTGCAGTTTGGGAACGAAGCTTTCACTTAAGTACACTTCTGAGAATGGCTACTTCGTATGTAAGAGAGGGTAGTATTATCCAGTTCTTAACATGAATTTCCATCAGCTCAAAAGTGATTTAAGAAACAATCTGCAACAGAAAGGCAATATGAAAGTACATTGTATTTACTCGGATTCTTCTCTCTCTCTCGTATGTGCTGAAAAAGACCTCCTAAGAAGCCCCTACTTTACAAAGGACTGCCCCTGCACATTCTCAAATCATGTTCATTTTTTCCTCTGAACATCAGGAAACACTTTTTCACTGTGAGGGTCACCAAGTGCTGGCACAGGTAGCCCATGGAGGTTGTGGAGTCTCCATCCCAGGAGGTATTCAAAAGCTGTGTAGACATGGTCCTGGGCAACCAGCCCTAGGACCACACTTAAGCACAGAGGGTTGGATCAGATAACCTCCAGACATTTCTTCCAACCTCAACCATTCTGTGTGGGTACCTGAAAATCATTTAGTTCTATCAGAAAATCAAACTGGTTGGAAAACACACAACAATCAGGGGGATGTATCTACAGCAGCTCCTCCTTCATTCACATAAAACATCAAAACTTCACTTTCCTCCTGAACTGCCTCTGATTTCAACACTTCCTCAAGCTAGTAAGTGGCAATACATCCTCAGACTGCATCTAACTCTCAGTCTCTCCTGCCTCCATGCCTGTTCCTAAAGGTAGCCAATACATTTGCTCCTATTCACTTATGTGTGCAGCTACCTCTATTTGCCTGTTGCACAGATGCAGTGATAACCAAGCAAGCAAAACACAAAAAAGAAAAAAAACCCAACCACCAAACCAAAAACTCAGACTACAGGTGGTAGGACTTAGGCCCAGCTATTTTATTATTCTTCCTAATTTACTTACTGTGATATCTCCCAACAGGCAACACAAAAGACATCTGTACATTTGTATGGAGAGTTCTGCTAGGAAAGAACAATCAGCTGCAGATATGAAAGGAACTGAGAAGTCAGCAATTTCACAGCTTTTGCCTTACAATGTCTGCTGTAACATTTCATATTATATCAAAACTGTTGTCGCATACTCTTTTCACAGAACTGCAAGACTTAAGGAGAAACAAACACGGCATCAAACACTGCATCAAATCCACCCATCAAGCAGGGATAGGTATCCTCTGAAGTGTTATTTTTCCACTGCTTTATGTAGTCCTTATTTTTAGGCACCCTAAGCACTCAGGTTTCAATGACACACTGACATGAAGTGACCTATCCATCTAAAAAATCTTGGTAATGTCACTTCCAGGCTTCTCTCCCCGCTCCTCCTCTTTGGAAGCCTTCCACTAGTCTTCAACCTATGTTTCTAAGAATAAATACTATCATGACCCAGATTCTTCCCACCAAACTTCAAGCATTTCTCCATGCACAAGTCAGGGGCTCTGCTAACATAAAGATACAAATAGCCTCAGTTGCTCTTTGGAGATACCTCTGCCCCTCCCTGCTGACTTCAGAGGGAACCTCTGAAAGAAGTCAGGACCTTATAGACAAGCTATAGACAATCTAAATCTCAGGTACTTTTTTCTAATCATCAAGATGCCTGCCTGTCCCCTCTTCCCCCTGCAAGTTCTCTCCCACTTAAAAATCTCTTTTTGGCACTGTGCTGCCCAATCTTCAGATTGCAATTTCTACCTGTAACTTCACCAAAGTTTTACAGAAGAAGTCTACCAACATTCCAGGATCTTTCTCTGTATTTCAAAGTACCTCATTAGCATTTTTCCTTACCTTTTAAGAATGCAAAGCCATGGGCTACTCACGGGACACTTTAAGACCACAGTTCCTTCTGATTTTCAACATAGATTCAGATGGCTCATCTCTAGACACAGGTTAGACAAAAGAGGCAAGAATATTTGCTTTATAATGCAAGTCACTGAGGAAAGAGAACCTGGCTGAAGGAAGCAGGACCACCAGCAATACATGATTTAGAAACCAACTACTAAACATCATCTGGTGTTGTAGAGGAACAGATTAAGAGGAGGACTGGGCAACTACCTGTAAATACTAGATGAGTGGAAGGAAAAGGGTGTGCTCACAAAAAGCAGTAAAAGACAGTAAAAAAACTGCAGAAAAGGTAGTAAAAGAAACAGATGAGAGAAAATGAGACTGAAGAAAAAGAGTATATTGGTACTGTACGAGATAAACAAAGCCACAATAATACTGATGGATTAATGTAGATATTCATAAAATTACTGTGTCACCTGAAATTGAAGCTAAAACTGGTATATTGTGGGACAATTCTTACATACTTCCTGAAACAACATCCTAAGACTTGTTTTCCTCTCACATCTCCTTATCTGCCCCAATTTCTTCAGGTCCTGTGTCTTTTTCAGCCAAGTCACCGCCATTGAGCAAAGTGTACAACTTCATACCCTGAATAGACAATTGAAAAAAAGTCTAATCAGAAAAACACTGGAAGTTCTAATCTGCACAAGAATTCCCAAGCAAGGTTTAGGAGATCTTACAAGGACAAGCAACCAGAACTTAGATTTCAAGAACAAGCTTTGAATTCTGGGCTGAAATGTCATGCAAAAATCTTTGAGACAATCATAGTTTCCTCCAAAGTAACGTAGCATTCCAGTCAAAAGCCAAACAATAGAGACACTTCACAATAGTACCTAGTAGTAATTAGGCAAAAGCCATGAAACATTCACATATTTGTTACAGATTTGTTGTATGGATTTTAGAAACACCTAGTGTTAAGCTACAAGGACTCCACAGATGTCCAGGATTTTCCAGGAAGATTGGAGGGGAGGAGGGAAAAGAGCGAGAGAGGAAATAATAGGCCAAATCCCCTTGACTAGCAGCTTTTAATCCAGCCGCTGGCAGCTCCTGTCACAGATTTGTCACTTGCTAGCAGTTTAGTGACCTTGTATGAGTACAAGGTTATGTTGGCATCCTCCCTCTGGGGCAGATACATTAAACTGAACCAATCATCCACTTAACCAGTAAAGGTTTTTAAAATAAACATTCTCAGGGGTGCTAAACCATACTACTTCATATGGCAGAGATGCACTGCTGCTTTACTCAAACTGCCATGGTCTCCATCACAGCCTTTTGATGACTTCTACCCAGAATCATTAAGTGCGACAAGAAGCAAGCTTTGGCAAGCATCCAAATGTCTGTTTCTGAAGCATTAGTACTCAGAAACCCTAATACAAACCTAATCATTATGCTTCCACACATACAAAGCCAAACATCTATTTTCTACACAAGAGGGTCTGCTTCCCTCCATGCAGCTCTACAGAGAGCAAGAGAGTAAAATAAATTTTGCCAAATAATTGCTCTCCACTTCCTACCCACCCCTACAGTCTCCAAACATCCTTTAACCCAGATTCTAAAACAAAGAAAAACAAATGCCTCATTATATAAACATAAGTCATGTTTGAAAATCTACTTGCCTGCTCACCAAAAACGATGGGGAAAATTTCCTTGGTGAAAAGTCATGTGTCATCACTTCCCACAGCTTTCACTTCAAAGTTAAAAAATAATAATAACAAAAAAAATAAAATAAAAAAAAAGAAGAAAGGCTTTTATGTTATGCTTTTGAGGCACTGCTGCACTGGTCAGATTAGGCCTTACAAGCAAGCACCTCCACTGCCCAGGGAAAGGCAGCACTGGCATACTCAAGTCTGCTGTTCCCTTCCAAGTTAACAGCAACAGGCTACAGATGGCTGACATCTCCAAAAAGACTAATCCTACTCGCATCGTATGCCTATCAGACACTGTCATGATCTGGAAGTGGCTCTCTCTCTCCCCACTGGTAAGGCAGGAAATCCAGATACAAATCTTACAGTGAGATCCAGCGAGGAACTAAATTATCACCAATTTCAAAAGGATTCTTGTCCCTTTCTTGCTTCCATGATAAGGATGAGCAGTCCCTAGACCCTTGCAGCCCTGGCTCCAAAACTCACTGCTCCGAAAGCACAACAGCGCAGGAAGGGCAGGGGGACCTACCCCCTCCACCCAGTTCTTCAGGAAAGACAATCCAGTAAAAAAGGGCTGTGAACGCATCCCTAAAAACGATCTGCCCTGAATAACAGTGCAGTAGTTTATTTTGGTAACTGTGTTCATACACACTTGCATGAGCACACAGAGTGGCTATTCACCCCCTTGGCTGCACTGGTAACAGCGGAAGCACACAGGGCTTCCTTTCACAGCACTGCAATTTAGAACAGTGATCACAGGGGGTCAGCAGCAGGTGCAAAGTCACAACTTCCCCAAAACCACTATAAACAGAGTTTTTTGTCCAGTCCAAGATGAAAAAGTTACATCTCACCTGCAAACGTGTTTGCACAGAGCGACAGCTACGAGACCAAAATAACAAGCAGTGTTCTTGAATGGGTTACAGGAACCAGAAGCTAACTATCTAAAAGTGCTTTCACATGACAACAAACCAGAAAAAAAAGCCACTCTTAAGTGCCCCAAATTTGTGTCCAAAAAATGGGGTGATTATCATACAGAACACACACAAGCAATTTCAGTAATTCCAGTTTCTTGCTAGACATAAGGAAATCCCTCGTTATCATATATATTATGGGATCAGAAGAAGAGGATGAGGGAGAAAGAATCGATTACCAACTGGAAACAGGGGATATAAGAGGAGACTGGAAAAATGAGAGATATGAAAAATAAATGTGTTGTGCTTTTATACACTGTATGGAGTGTTACCACCAAAAATGACATCAAAATCAAGTCACTCTGCTATACTTTCATCATAAATTCTATAAATTTTGACAATATAGACCTATATTTAAATAACAAATGAAAAGCTTCCACTTACTGTCACTGCTTATTTTGACACATGCTATTGATTTCAAAATCATGATTTTATCAGGAATCAGTGCAGTAGAGCTAGCACGATGTTAATGAGAGTTAAGGGGAGAGAAAATAAAGCAGACAACCTTTATTTTCTCCACAGAGCATTAAGTGTTGAAGCTTTTGTACAAGTTACTCTGCTCATAGGGAAAATCTCCCTTCCTGGCACACTTTAACACTTATCATTCTTTGTCAAACCCTAAGCAAAAGCAATCTTCCTCCTCCCTAATTTCATACGAAAATATGAGAAGCACTGCATCAATCACCTTTTTTTTTTTTCCCCCATGACAGCCACAATTCATTTTGGCTGAGTATTCCCTGATAGGCCACGAAGTGCTTGCCATTCACTTTGGGAGAATGAAGCTTTAAGAAACTGCATTTTTACTTTCTTTTTTGCAAATCAAGTCTAAGCAGCACCACTGGAAACAAGAAATAAGTGACCTGGTTACGTTTTCCTGGACATTAAGTCTTCTATATGAGGACGCATATAAAAATTGACATCCTTTGATGAGACTCTGGAAATCAGTTATAGCAAAAACTCCTGAAGTAAAACTGCACAGAGACTGTGTTAATGAACAGTGTGATACCCTCAAAAGAAAAGCAACTGGACCACTGACTTTGCCTCAGCCTACATGGGTGCTCCCTTCTAACACACTCTATCTGCCTTACCTCTTTGATGTGGCCAAAATCCCTCCACAACAAAAGGATTTATCACAAGCATCTTTTTCCTTTAAGTATTTCTATGGCTACAATCACTGTAATACATGAGAATATCATATTCCGTTACATGCTTATATTCAAAGCGTCATTTGGACAACAGGGGATTTAGCTCAGACAGAATTAACATGCAATTCGTTCAACGTCACATGAAGTCTGTCAAGGAAAAGAACTGCAGCCTCCCTCCTCTTCCCAAGCACAAGTGGAGCATCCCATTTAATCAGCAGACAGGTCCTCTCACAGGCGTACCTATCTGCCATATATACACCATATATATTTCAGGCCAGATATCCTGTAGTAATATTCCCTCTCATATGGGACTGAATTAATCCTTTAAATCCCTTGTCAACAGCTGACAGTATGAAACAGAAAAATGTACACCTGATTCCCAGATTTTAAAAGCAGAAAATACATCTTTGAATAAATGCTGTCCAATTTTCCAAATATATTTAGAATGTCACCACAACACATTCACACAGTCTCAAAACATTTTTTGCTATGATGCTACTGCACAGAGTGTTTTATGGCCAGCCAGGATAACGTAGCCCAGTGACCACTTCATCTTTTTGAAAGGAAAAGGCTTGAGCTGCTCATAAAATGAGGTGCACTCTGGTTCTCCTTAGAGTATTCCCTGACAGCATCATGTGTTAGGTAGAGCTTTGATATTCTTACAATCAGACAAGCTGTGAGTGATGAGCAAACCATGCAGCCTTTTAACAAAAGCTTCTTGGAGACGAGGCACATCTTTTGTCTTCCCAGAAAAAGCCTACTTATAACTTGAGATCTTAGCCACATAAGTCCAAACGTAATTTAACTACAAGATAATACATATCAAATTCACAATAGCAAAATGAGGAAGCTCAGAAGTTCATTAAGAAAGATACAGCTACAGACTTGTCATTTTGGTTCAGATCATCTCTTTTCAAGGCTTTAGGAAGCAGCTTCTAAACTGACCTTTCAATTCCTTACTATGTTAATGAATTTTAAAATGCAATAAATTCCAAGTGCAATGGAATTAAACAATCCACCGAAAAGCCACGGAAAAAACAAAATGGAAAAACTCTTTTGAGAACACTATGCATTCTCAAAAACAATAAGAAAAGAATTGTCAGTAAGAACAAGACCAGGTCCTTAATATGTTAAAAGCATATTAACTTCAGAAACAGGTATTGTGTCACCATACAGTAAACCTCATCCATAGACCTGTCTTTCCTTGAGTGTGCTTCTCCTACTCACAGGGTCTTCAAAACTGTCAAGGATTCATGATCCATGTGCAGAACAAAACTGGGTAAGCCAACCCTTTTGGCCATAAAAATCCATCACGCTTTTTGTCAGCCTAAATGGAGCATGCTAGGTGCTTTTATTGTTTAGAAAAGCTTGCCCTTGCCCTGAAGAATTCTGTGCTTTCCATCATTTTAGATACAAATGCAGTATTACCAAAGTAAAAAATTTAAACCAACCCCTCAAAAAAAAAAAAAAAAAAATCCCAACTGTTGTTTTCCCCTCCTGCTTCTGCAGTTTAGGAATAAAATTTGTATACATAACACCCTCAGTCACTTTTATTGTTTGCTTTGAAACACAAGAAAGTGTTTCTTTTTTGTTCCTCTCTTAACATGTTACCAGGAAAAAGCACAAACAAACCAACCAAAATAACAAAGAAACAAACAAAAACCCCACCTAAACAAAATAAACTCCCAAAACACCCTACCAAAATAAAGTCCATTCACACTAGCCCAACTTAAAAGTCTCCTTTTGTGTTTAGTTTTAAATATGTTGAAAATTTTTGTTACAACCTCCCCAAATACTCACATTTCCCTCTGCTGCTTCTATTTAACAAA